TGGAAGTAAAAAATACTCGAAGTTTCCACTACCCCCAAATCCACTGAATCCTCACATATCCCTAGATAACTACAAGTTTCTAACCATTTATCCATCTTGATAACTTTCTTGATCCTAAATCGCCTAGATAACTCTGTTAACCCCAATTCCATTAATAATTGCTCAAAATCCCCCTATATCCCTCCATTTGCTCAATTTAGTTAAACCTAGTTAAAAAATGTAGAATAAAGCGTTTTAATTAAAATTTCAATTATTTTTAAGATTTTTAAATAATGCCCTATTTTTTGCCCTATTTTTGGCCGGTTTCGCCCTATTTTTGCCCTATTTTTGAGTGGCTGCGCCCTATTTTAGTGTTTTGGAAAGGGCCACCCTGATCCACAGATATGCTTTTAATCCAGATAAATCTGCCGATTTCCTTATAATCTTTATATTTTCGTTATCTCTTATAACCTCTCACATAAAAAATGAAAATTTTTGGCAGCGGTATTTTGGGTATGGGTGGGAATTATGAATTTGTTCACTGACGGATTGTCCACTGACCGATTGTCCGACCACTGACGCATTGTCCACTGACGGATTTTCCACTGCCGGATTGTCCACTGACGGATTGTCCGGGAGCCAGGTCAGTAAAGCGGAATATACCCTGAAACTGTCGAAGAGTGCTGATATAGGGTGTGCTTCGGCTCTAATCTTTTTAAAATCTTGGCTTCTGTGGTAAATGTCCGTTTCGTTCCCTACCTGTCCGCAAAGAGAATGCGCATTTTTCTTTCCTTTAAGATAAAAGGAGCTAGAGCTTTGAGCCAGAGTCATACCCCTAACTGGTGTCGAATCTCAGATACTCTTGTTGGATATTTCTTCATTCAATCAAACTATACTACATGTGGAGTTTAGATAATTTTAGAATTTATATCTCCTCTATCGAGGACAAATTTTTGAAGAATTTCATAATTTTTGTCTATATTTTATAATTAAATTTACAAGTTTTTCCAACCAAAAGTCATTATATTATAGTCTCCTCTTTATTTCATTATTCGCAAAATTTTCCCGTCTTTTTTCTATTCATTTTTGGGGTGGACTTTAATTCTTTTTCCTTCAAAAATGTGATGAAATCAAAGAAAAAATGAAATTTCCACACATTTTTTCTTTCCTTTTTTCAATTTTGCAAAAGTTTTTGATGGGTGGCCCCAGACAGATAATTCAAAAAAGAAAATTTTTTTCAACGGAAGGAGTGGGCCTTGGAAATAAAGAAAGGTTTTTTGGTTTAATGGAGGAAAGGAATGAATATTTTTTGAAGAGACATTAAAAAAACATTTAAAAAAACTAAAGGGAAAATCCCATTTTTGGCATATTTAAATTTGAGAAGTAAAGTGGATATCTCTTTAAAAAGACTTGTAAAAAAACCTAAAAAGAGGTATATTTCTGGATATAAAATGACAAAAATAAAATTCCCATTTTTGGGCATTTCACTCCTTTTTTTAAATTGAATGATGAGTGGTGATGTGAGAAGGCGCCGACGGCTCTTTTTTCCTTTTTAAACACCAAAAACTTGTCATTAAACCCTCATTATTATATTTCATTATATTGCTTTATTTTAGGGAAATGGTGATAAAAATTTATTGTTAAACAATTAAAAGCATCATAGGTTATCAAAATGGCGTGTCGTTTATGACTTTCCTTTACTAAATTTAAATTAGAGACTTTTTTGCAATTCTTTTACACGTTTCTATTTGGCAAATAGTCAAAGGGGCTTTTTGCATTTTACATATTTATTATTTTTAATTTTCTTCTTTTATTTTTCCTGATTATTCTTTAATTTGTTTGTTTTTTAAGTTTTTGTTATTCATTTACGGCTACCGACTTTTGATGCCCCGACTGTTTGAGAATATTGAGCATAACATTTTTTTAATTAATTTTTAGAGGTATTTTTACTTGCAAATAATTAAGCTTTAAATCAGGCTTGGTAATGGACACGAATTTTGGTATCTGTATCCGGATATATCCGTAAGGTCGATATCCGTATCCACTTATATCTTTGTAACTTTTGAGTCATATCCGCGGATATCCGGATTACCAAGCCTGCTTTAAATTATTCTCATTTTAAAACAAGGAATTTCAAAATGCGTAAATGTCTAGTAATGTTAGTGTAGCTAATATCTTTCATAACAGCAGTTTTTAGCCCATATCTTTACTTCATTTCCATAATTTTTCAAACTCTGTATTATTTCTGGAATAATTATTAGCTTGTTTTATTAAACTTAGATACTTCTTTATATCCATTTTATCACTGATTTATGCTTAATTTAATGTTAATTATCCTTAAAAGTCGTCATATGATGTATGTATATTCTGAATTATTTTTTGATTCTAAAGTAAATTATTTCTGTTATTTTCTTTTGGATTTATTCAAAATTTATTCTAATTTTGCTCAGAATATTCTTTTGCTTTAATCTTACTTTTTCTGATATTTCTTTGCACTTCTTTGATTTTCCCTTATTTTTTTATTTTATCCTTCATGTAACTAAATTTATTTGTTTATCCACACATTGATACTTCACTTTTTCACCTTTAAGCCCTAATTTTTGAGATATTAAAATATTTATTACATTAATATAAATTGCCACATTTTTGCTTTAATTTAAATAAAGTGCAAAATAAAATTCTAAATTAAAAACACTCTGAGCTATTTTTAAATTATTTTAAGAAGATTTAAAGAGATTTTGTTATTTTAATATTTACATATTTTTATTTTTATAGAAAAATAATTTAACGGATTTACCAAAACATATTTTAACTTTTTAGTAAATGTGAAGGTATTTTGATACACAAAAATGTAAATTTTTTAGGCTTGACTATAAAGGGATCTTTCTGGAATTACTGGAATTTTCTGGAATATATATTGGGAAATCCTGTATATTAGTAAATCCTCGCTGATCTAATCTTTTATAGTTGGGTGTGCTGGCTTAAGGTTTAGAAGAAAAACAAGCTAAATTTCAATAGCTTTCAGAGCCCTAAAATAAGAACTCGGTCACCTGACGATGGACCTAACCATCGTCACATAACTATGGTTAGGTAACCACAAGGTCATTGTAAACCGGTAAGATAAGAAAACCACGTGGTTAACCACCGTCATAAGGTGGTTAACTGAAAATCCCAAGGATTCTGGTTCTGTGCTTCGTTTTTGTTCTGGATTACCAGAGAACCATAGGAAAAGGATCAAACAGCTTACCAAAAGCAGCCTTTCCTCTGATTAATGTTTTGCTTTTCTTTACCCTCTAACTACTCTAAAAATTATCAAAAAAATTTTCTTCTTCTCTTCTCCATACTCCAATGTCCCCTTTTTATTTTAAAAGCTCCGCCCTTAATTTTTATATTTAAATAGTTTTAAAGCCCCGCCCCTTTTAACCTTTTTCTTCTTTATAATGAGGGAATATATAATATGGAGAAGTTTTTGTATGAGACAAAAAATGGGGCGGGTGTGTGTGCTTTAAATACAAAATCTGCGCGAAAGCCTTTAATATAAAATGGACACATTTAGGCTATTTCCCTCTGTTCATACAAACAATTACAACGAAGCTAAATAAATAAAATATATTTTTATTTTCTCCGATTTTATTTATTTTAATAGGTATTTTAATTACTAATAACTTCTATTCTATTTATATATACCTCTATTTAACATACATACCCTCAAATGTAGCTAATGCTTTATTCAAGAATGGGGTTCAAAATTCTTGAATAAAGTTTTCTAATTTTGATTAATAGATTTTTTCATGTAGTCATCCAAAATAGAGACTGGACTGGGAGTGTCGTACGTGAATCGGGATTTAGATCTCGATAAATCTCAATCTCGATAACCGAAATTTTCCATCGAGATCTCGTCTCGGTCCGGTCTCTAATCCAAAACACACTACTAATCTATATTTTATTTTGAAGTATTTATGAATGGGCTGTAATTTAAATTGGGCTTAATATATAAGTATAATCGAATCTCGATATCATGCCCGTCGAGAACGTCTTATAGGACGCTCTCTTCGTCATGATGTTTCTTCAGGCTTATAGAACGCTCTCTTTTTTATTGAGATATCCACAACTCGTTGTCCAACCCTAAATCCTTTAAGAAAAGGATTTAGGAATTATCTATTTACTTACTAAGTTCATAAAATAATTTAATAAACATTTTATTCATTTAAATAATTAACAGTAAAGGAAAATATTTTTTAATCTTTATTAACGTATAATATTTATTTACAAATTTAATTAAGCAAATGTTAAAATCTTATTATATTTTATCAAATATTTTTAAACAAAAAATTGTTTACAAATATTGCAATAAACTTCCCAAATTTATTTTTAACAAATTAATTTATTAAAATAAATTAGAAAAAAAATTTTCTGGGCACATTTTTAATGGCAAAAAAATTTAGAAAAAAAAATAAATTTTTTGACAAGAATGCGCGAGAAGAAAAAACATCAATCATTCATCTCTAATTTAATTTAAAAAATATTTAACTTGAGAATTTATTCCTTTTCCTTGTGATTTTCAGCCTTGGGCAAAAACTTTTTAACAAGAAACTTTGTTCAGTTTAAATTTATATCGTTTTTAGGGTTAAATTCCAATTTCTAAAATTATTTTTTGGCTCAGATTTTTTCGGGTAGATCATCTCTTCTTTTTCTTGATTACTAGAGTTCGACATTTTCAATTTGCCGGGCCCGGTATATCCGGGTTTTTTTCTTCCAATGCGACCCGGGCCGGGTTCCGGGCTGAAAACCCCGAAAACCCGGATTTTATCAAAATACCCGGTTTCCGGGCTACCGGGGCCGGAAAACCCGGTCCCGACCCGGAGTCGAACACTATTGATTACTCTCATTTGTCCTTCTTCACTTTTTTGAATTTTTTAATTTTTAAAATTCATTTTTCGATCATTATTTACCAAAATTTAAATTTTCTTTTTTTCAGCTAATATTCAAAGTTAATAAAAAAAATTCTCAAAATATTCTAATATTTAATAATTCTTCAAATCAACAAAAAAAGAGATATTTTAAGTATAAAATGACCACCAATACTTTTCTAAATCAACAAAACTTTTCCTCTTCCCCCATGTGTCGGCTTTTCTTCCCCTTTGTTTCTTCCACTTCCCCAGCTATCAGTTCAACAACAGAATCAACAGAAAGGCAGCAACAGCAAAATAACTGTCAGAAATCCTCCCGGCTAAATAGCCGGAGGAATTATTCTTCAAATTCGTCTCTTTTCGCAGCCATTTTCGCCTCTCTGTGCGTTTTTGCCGTCCATTTGCCAGCAGTTGCTGGACTAGCTTGTTATGAAACTGTTAATGTAAGGAAATTTTTTTTTTTTTTAATTTTTAGGAAATTTTTTAAGATAACAATAATAATGATGCAAAAATTTTTAATTTTTTGCAAATTATTTTTAAAAATTGCTGGCGTTTATTTTCTCTCTTTTTTCTTAACAAATGTTTTTATTTCCTTGACAAAAAATAATCATCTTTTCTATCGCTTCAATGCAAATAAAAAAATTATTATTTTTAAATCTGCTTAATATTAATTATTTTATTTTTATTAAAAAATACAAAAATAATTTTTTCTGAGAGATTTACACAAATTATTTTTTTAATTAGAATACTCTCTTTTTTTAGGAAGGAATAAATTAAATACGTAAAACATTTTTTTGAAGGGGAGTGTAAAAAAACTTAATATAGAACACAAAGAACAATTTATTCTAAACATTTATAAAAACTTTCTAGTTTTATAAAAAGATGCGCGCTAAATGTTCATAGAGCATTTAAGTATGCTAATTACTAAAAAAGTTTTATTTATAGCTTGTCTGTCTACCTAAATAAATTATTGTTGTCTCTCTTCTTTTTATGTACTCTCTCTTCTTCTCTTTATAGTTGTCTCTCCTTATAATTAATTCAGACACATTTCCGGAAAAAGTTTCCGGAAATTTTGTATATATTCTCTTCCTCTGGACTTACATACTGCTAGAGTGGCGGAATCTAAATAAGGATACTATTTAAACGGGGAGGAGGGGGGTATTAAATAATTCTTTTAGTCGGGTCAGTCCCTAGTTAATCTGAAGGCCTCTCTCAGTTAAAATCCTAAAAAAGCTAAAAAAAATCTAAAAAAGGCTTAAAAATGCTAATAAATTATTGAGGCAAAAAAGGAAAATAGAAAAATGATGTAAGGGAAAAAAATAATTTTTAAATAAAAATAAATTTATTTTTGAAGGGGGGGGGGGTGAGGGGCTGAGGGGGGGGGGTTATTTAGAAAAAAAATTTTATTTGGAAAAAATTTTTTTAAATCAAGTAAAATTCTATTTTTAGGCTTCTTTCTTCTTCTTTCTTCTTTCTTTCCAATTCAATTATTTTTATATTACTTGTCATTTTACCTCTATATTTATTACGTTATTAGCTTTTTTTTACGCAAGCACAATTATCTTAAAATAAAAAAAATTTTTATAATTGTTCACTGCTCTAAATAATCCTTAAATAATTATTTCCTCCCTTTTTTAGGGCAAAATCACAATTGTACAAAACGATGCTTGGCGCTATTGTGCCCTTGTACCTGCTACAATTGTTGGAAAAGAAATGGTCAACGGAAGTCAGTTTGGCATTGGGGCGGAGAATGACATGTTGGGGATGTATAATAATGCTTTTGCACTCAGTCAAGAAGAATATCGGATTTTGACAGTTTGCATTTATGAGGTGAATATTTTGGGTATTTGATGACGAATGGAAAATAACTAGAAAAATTACGAAAAAATAAAAATTTCAAAAATTTCGGAAATTTTTGAAAAAAAATTCCAAAAAAATTTTAAAAAAATTTTCAAAAAAATTTTGAAAAATTTTCAAAATAAAAATTTGAAAAATTTTTAAAAAATTTTTCAAAAATTTCAAAAAAAATTTTATTGAAAATTTTTGAAATTTTTTTGAGGTTCTTTAAAATTTTTTTTAATTCATAAAAAAATTCAATTCTAATTTTCCTTTTCATTTTAGCGCTACGATTTTAGCCGTTTTCTAACAATGATGAAGCCAGATATGGCTGTAGAATTTGCTTTTCGTTGTGTTTGCAATTATGATTTATGCAACAGCGAACCGACATTTTCTGCTTATTTATCAGCAATTAAATCAGAAAGTTTTGCGAGGAGATAATATATTTAATTAATTGATTATTTTATAATATATTTAATTAAAAACCCATTTTATTAATTTTTAATTGTCCCAATCATTCCTTTTTTATTTTTTACTTTGTTTCCTTTTTCTCATTCTTTTCTTGTGCATTTTTTCCTTCAAATCTCCAAAGAAATCACCTCTTTATTTTTTATTTTTCATTTTCTTAATTTTGTCGGAACTCTAATTTGTGGACACCTCTATTTTAAAGACACCGCTTTGGGAAGTTTTGGGATATACTGTCTCTTATTGGGATGAATTGTCTCTTTTTTGGCATAATGCCAAAAACCCTCTATTTAATAGAAAACCTCTATTTTATGGACGATAGTGTCTATTACATAGAATAGAGTCTCTATACAGTTCCGACACAATTTAATTTTAAATATTATAATTATTTGCTTAGGAAATCTATCAATTGTTTAGTGCTCTTCCAAATCCGAAGAACGCTTCTTTTTAAAAAAGAATTTTTAAAATTAATGAAATTTATATTTTATATATTATTTTTTGAATAAATTTATGAATAAAATAAAAATTTATTTTTTTATGAGAATCAAGTGTTAAATTTTTAAAAAAATATTTTCTGGATTTTTAAAACGAAAATTAGAAAAAAATTATTTTTTATTAATTGGAGCTTAAATCTCCTCCATAGCCTCTCTCCACTATTTATTTAATTAACAATGTTAACACTTCTTTTCTTTAGATATTCTTTAGCTAAATATATTTATTAAATTTTTTAATCACTCCCCAATGGATGATCTCGTCTCTCTTTTCTCTATTAGTTATTTAGCTGTTTTTTTGAAAAATTTTTTTAAATAAAAATATTTTTTAGCAAATTATTTATTAGTTTCTATCCACAAAATTAATCCTCGATATTTTTCTTTTCTTTAAAATAAAAAAATATTTCTTTTAATTAATTTGTTGTAAAATAATGAATAATTAATTATTATATATTTGCTCCTCGTTAATTAAATATTTTTTGTTATTTTTATATATCACCTCTCTAATTTTGATTTTAATCTGTGAACAAATTGAATTATGAATGAATAAATGAATGAAATTTTTGTTTTTTTATTCTTGTTTGATTGAGTGACTTGGCCTGCTTTTCGATCGGTATTATTTTTGTTTTAGGGGCGGAACGACGTTCGAAGCTATTTTTCTTTTTTCTAATATATTTTCTAATATCTCTAGGGTCTAACATCTTTAGGACTGAGTCTAATCAATTAAGTCTAAATTTAATTGACATTAGAAAATAAACATATTCGTAACTCGTATTCGTACTTGGTATGAAGTACGAATACGAGCAAATCTAAAATTTTCTCGTTGTTTCCCTACTTTGTATTCGCACAAATCATGTGGCGCCGAGACTTTCTATTAGGATTATACAAAAATAGTAATATCACATGTCCTGAAACTCCAAAAAATTTATTTAAAATATTATTAAAAGTTTATTTCGAACTTAAAAAAACAATTAATTTAATTGACATTAGAAAATAAACAAAAAAATAAAAATAATAAATTTTTATTAATTTGGAAGTATACACTAGAAAAATATCTAATATATTCTTAATTTAGTCATCTTTTTTATTACAAAAAACTCCTTCTCTCCTATAAAAATATTTTTTGTTTAATTTATTAAAAATATTACTAAACGATCTCTAAAATAGAAATATACATTTTTAAACTTTTTTTAACATTCTGTTTGTATTTTTTATATAAAAAAGGACCTTTCTCATTAAATTAATAGAAAGATTTTTTCACAAAAATTATCCGATTTATGGCAAAAAAAATTTTTTTTAATTTTCTTGTTTTTTCTCGAAGTTTTCACGATTTTATATAGAAAAAAATATTTACATAAATTACTAATTTGGAAAATCCACAAATATAGAAAATACTAGAATATTTTTATTTTTGACGTCAAAATATTATTTTTTTATTTTTATTATTTTTACAAAGAATATGAAAATTTTTACGAATTAAAGGGGTAATAAAAAGCGAATAATTGGAGTACAGCAAAAAATATTTAAAAGAATATTCCCTCAATGTAGATTTTTTTGGATTTCCAAGAGAAGATACGATTCTTTAATTGGAATATTTATTGGAATATATTACTTAAAATATTTTTAATAATTATTTTATGTTTCTAGTTGAATAGAATTTTAAAATTTTATAAGCTACTAAATTAGTCTATTCTTGTCTATGAGAAAAAATTTCTTTAATCAAGTATCTATGTATGTCTGGAAGAATAAGATTTTTAACTTCCTTTTTTCAAAACAATTTGAAGTCGTTATAGTAGGTTAATTTAATTTTTAAGGAGTACTATGTAATTATTATCTCCCGCAAGTCCGCAAATGTCGTCCGCAACTGTTAGTCTTAGCCTTATCTTTGCATCTTTATCCTTACATAAAGATAAAAATGATCGAGGATTAATAATTACTTCATTATCATTTAATTTGTTATCCGATTAGACATTTGCGTACTTTTGGGGAGATAATATAAGGATGATTTACCTTGAGCATTTAAAACGCTTATGCGGGGGTTAAATGATTTAAAAGGATAAAAGAGTAGCTCTACCAGTAACTCAGTAGTAGTAACTCAGTAGTATCACTGTAGCAGGCTCGAACCCTGGACAGTGGCTAAACTTCTGCTAAACTCCTTCTATAATACCATAGCAGTACCTTTTAAAGTTATTTTTTTTTGTTTGAGAGAAAATTAATTTATATTTATTTCGTTAAAAAACTTTTTTTACATTTCCGATTTTTTCCCATAAAAATAAAAATAATCACAAATAAATCAAACAAAATAATCACATTGTTTCTATAAAAATTTTCTTTTAACTAATTAATATAATTAAAAATATTCTTCAAAAAAATAAAAAATTTTCTTGAAACTTTAATTTAAAAAATACAAAATTTATCTTAAACATGTGTTTATTTAATTAATATTTCCAAAAAAGGAAAATTTTGTTTAATAAAAATAAATATTCTTTGAAATTACTATTTTTGTTTAAATTGAAGACGTTACTACAAAATTTTGTAAATAAAAAAATAATTAAAAATAATTTTTGGAAATTTTTAAAAATTCGGAGAATTAGGCAAAATTTTTATTTTATATTTACAAGAAAAAAAAATAAATTAAAAAATTGCAATTAAATATTTATCAAAAGCAAAGTTATGGTAGATTAACATTAACTATCAATATTACGTTGGAATAATTTCTAGGCAGTCTTAAGCTTCCCGATTTTTTAATTTTTAATTCAGGCTATAAATGAGTTAAATAATAATTTTATTTGATTGGATCGCGACTGACTGCTATAAGGGCTAAAGATTAAATGTCGGGTTATTATTAATCATCGTCGAAGAATTTCCCAATTCTTAAAACGAAATTTTCGTCTTTCGGTAAAAAATTTTAGTATAAAAACCAGAATATTCTAAATTAGCAATCGCATTGCTCCACAAAATTTGTATCTTCTAAGTTTAAAGCATGTCAAAAATTGGTCAGCCGACGAAGACTACAGATCTCTATGACAAGCCACCACCATCAGCAGCAGTAAACGATCAACTCTATGACCAGCCGCCAAAGGCCGCCGAAGTGAACTACGACGAAATAGCGCCAGGTCCGAAATGCAAAATCGAGGTTAGCAGTGGTGTAATGCTCGCTGATTATACTCCAAAAGAAAGTAAGTTGTGGAAGAACGTTCAAGGGTGAAGTGTAATCTTAAATTTACAGTAAGGAAACCCACACCAAAACCCGAAGAAACTCAAGAAAGTCAAGTAACGAGTAAGCTGTCAGCACACCAATTATGCAAAATTGGGGAAGAAGATATCATCATTGGTAGTGAGATGATGTCGTTCATGGGGAGCGAACGTGAGTTTTGGGGAAAGTTTAAAATTGAAAGATAATTTTCTTTTTACAGGAAAAAAACGAAAGAAAATACGACGTGGCAAATCTGTGACTTGCGCTGAAACAAAGCTTCAGACTGCATCTGGTAATCAAGCTTGAAATAAAAAAGCTTTTTTTAACTTTTATCATTTTTCAGCTCCCCAAAGCCAAAAAAGTGCGTGAAGGTAAAGAACAAGTGTTGCATCGTATCTTCGGTCATTCTGACAGTTCTGTTTCTTGTTCTTGCTATAGTCACTTCACTGGCGGCTTTTTGTCAATTAGAGGAGATGATTCCAGAAGAATATCCGTGGTTCTAAAAATGTTAATAAATATTCACTCATTCATTATTGTTTTGTTAGTTGTTGTATTTCGCTTCCCTTTATACTATTCTCATAATTGTACATAAAATATAATTGACAGATTATATAAAATTTGCTCTGAATACCTTTTTGTTTTATCAATTTTCAGCTCCCCCAAAGCCAAAAAAGAAGGTGTGTTCACTTCACTGGCGGCTTTTTGTCAAAAAATTAGGTGGGAAAAATCGAAAATTAATGTTTGAAGGACGTCCTGTTGACAGAAAAATTCAAACTCGATTGCCTTATTTGTTAAGCTCCAAATTATTCAAAATAATTACATTGAAAATAAATCATTCAAATAAAATGAAGGCTACTAAGCAGTGTTCCAGAATTATGTGTGATAAAAATTTGGTTTACCAAAATGGGTCGAATTTTTTGTATAGTGACAGTTATGTATTGGCTATAGAAACCCCTTAAAATAAGTATATTTTCAAATTAGTCATTAAAACTTGAGCTAAAGAGTTACTCAACAACTCATACTTTTCAGTTTCAGCTCGTTGACTTCGACGCTGGTTTTTGAAAGCATTTCAGGACAAAATTCATGTATAAAAGCTAGAATAATCCAAAGCATTAAGCTCATTCCTCCACAACATTCGCAACTTCAAAGTTGAAGCATGTCACAACATGATCAACCGCCGAAGGATGGAGAGCTCTACGATCAGCCGCCACCAGCAACGCCAGGGAAGCCAGAAGACAGCCAACTCTATGATCAACCGCCACCAGCTGACGAAGGGGAGAAAAAAGAAAAACAACAAGCTAAGAAACCAGCCGAGAATAAAGGGGAATATGAGGTCATCTCTGAAGAAATGATGGTATCGATCAAAGGGGCCAAACGTAAGTTTTGCGGAGAATCCTAATTATTGAAATTTATTTTTTCTTTTCCAGCAAAGGATAAGAAAGCGGGTAAACAAAAGGAAAAGCAGCAAGGCAAGTCTGATACACCAAAGGGTCAGGCACCTGGTAATGAAATAACAATTAAATTCTCTTTTAATTTTATCATTTTTCAGCTCCCAAGAAACCCGCTAAGAAGAATGCTGATGTGGAACAAACGGTCAAAGCCCAACCAAAACCTCAGCCAAAACCGAAAAAGAAGGTGGTGGTAAAGAGCAAGTGTGGCATCGTATCTTCGTTCATTCTGACGCTTCTGGCTCTTGTGCTTGCTTTGTTCACTTCATTGGCTGCTTTTTGTCAACTAGAGGAAGTAATTCCAAAAGAATATCCGTGGTTCTAAACTCTAAATATATTCACTCATTCATTGTTATTGTTGTTGTTACCTTTTCCTTCACTTTTATCTTATAATTGAGAGATTAAGTATATTTGCCCTGAAGATTGGTAACTTAAATATATTTTTCACTATTTTCTTTGTTTTACGAAATAAATTTTAATAATGGAATGTTTCTTGTACATAAATAAAAAAAACTTTTAATTCGATTGCTTTTGTTTGTTAAACTCAAAAGTATTTAAAAATACATTGAAAACACAGGAGGCAGTGTTCCAAAATCAGTTGTGATGAAGATTCGACTTAATAAAGTCAAAATGACTGAATTTTCTTGTTTTTGTACAATACCTGTGCTTTTCTGCTGAACGCCGTCGGAGTCCATACTCGTTATTAACTCAAAACAAAACTCAAAGAACAACTCAAAAACTTCTTTCTTAAAACATTAAAAAACCATTTAAAATTCGTATCAAACAAAAGGCAGTGCAGTAGGTGGCGGGGTGTAATGGATAACACATCAGTCCGGTCTACTGAAAGTCTGGTTCGCTACCAGCCGCCGAATAACCTTTTACACTAGCTGAAGGAGTTGAAGTAGCTATAGCCCAGCTGCTTTACTTAGTTTAGAAATTCTAGTATAAAAGCTAGAATAATCCAAAGCATTAAGCTCATTCCTCCACAACATTCGCAACTTCAAAGTTGAAGCATGTCACAACATGATCAACCGCCGAAGGATGGAGATCTCTACGATCAGCCACCGCCAGTAGCGCCGGGGAAGCAAGCAGACAGTCAACTCTACGATCAACCGCCACCAGCTGACGAAAAGGAGAATAAAGGAAAACAACAAGCTAAGAAACCAGCCGAGAAAAACGGGGATTATGAGGTCATCACTGATGAAGAAATTAACTCGATAATTCTGTCGGTCAAACGTAAGTTTTGGAGAGAATGTTCAAGAATTGAAAAATAAATTTTCTTTTATTTTACAGCAAAGCAGAAACCAGCGGGTAAGCAAAAGGAAAAGAAAAAAGAAAAGCAACATGGCAAATCTGACACTCCAAAGCGTCAGACTGCATCTGGTAATGAACTAACAATCAGATTCACTTTTAATTTTTATCATTTTTCAGCTCCAAAGAAACCCTCTAAGGAGAATGCTGATGTGGAAAAACCTGCCAAAGCACAACAAACAGCTCCTCAGCCAAAACCGAAAAAGAGCGTGAAGGTAAAGAGCAAATGTGGCATCGTATCTTCGGTCATTCTGACGCTTCTGACTCTTGTGCTTGCTATAGTCACTTCACTGGCGGCATTTTGCCAATTAGAAGAGACGATTCCAAAAGAATATCCGTGGTTCTAAAAATGTAAATGTATTCACTCATTCATTGTTGTTTTGTTGAGTTATTGTATTTCTCTTTCCTTTGTCCCATACTATAATTGTATTATATAAATATTATTAGCATACACAGTTCACTGTTAATTGTTTTGCTTGACGTAATAAATTAATTTTGAAATCTTTGTTATTTTATTTTTGTATTATAGGAGATTTGACTTGTTTCAAAATAGAATTAAATACCCATACAGTGGGGGAAATAGATAGGTAACTGTGAAATTGACTACCGTTTTTATTTCATCTGCATCAGGCCCGTAACCAGGGGGGGGGTGAGGGGGGGAATTCCCCCCCCCCCGAAATGGGAAAAAGGAAAAAATTTGGGGAAGGGCTGGGGCAAAAAAGTGAATTTTTTTGGCCTACGGCCTTCGAAATTTTCAAAATTTTCGCCTGCGGCGCTAAAAAAGGACGAAATCTGGCTTCTTGAGGTCCAAAATTCAAAAAATTTTCGCCTGCGGCGCTGAAAATCAAATTTTTGGCGCCTGCGGCGCCGAAAAAGTGAATTTTTTTGGCCTACGGCCTTCTAAAATTAAAAAAATTTTCGCCTGCGGCGCTGAAAATAAAAATTTTTGGCGCCTTCGGCGCCAAAAATTTGGCGCAAGCAAATTTCCCCCCCTCGAAAAAAAATCCTAGTTACGGGCCTGATCTGCATGGTGTCTCCTCCTCCCCACTAACAAACAAAGCTTACAAGATTCAAGAGAATGAAGTAGAGAATGTAAGCAAAAATCGAGACAGCTGATTAAAACAGCAAAGCGATTAGTCTCGCACAAAACAATTAATCTCAAGCAAACCAATTACTCTCTAGTAGGGTCGAGTCGGGCTGAATTTTTCCGAGCCATTTTTCGGGCTTGTTTTAATCGAGAGCCGTTCGAGTCACTTTCAGGCTAAATATCTTAGGCCCGACTCGATCTTTCTGTCCCAAGTCCGTCTATTTTGGCAACCCTACTCTCAAGCAAAGGATTAACTCAACAATCTAAACATCGAACACCTTTATTTCATCACACAATCTTTCACATTGTCATCATCTTAAAACATTCACTGAAAATCAGTTATCGAAACAATTATAAAAATATTGACCTGGTTACTATCACTAACTTGAAGTTACAGTTATTTACTATAGTTAGGTATATGTTATTTCTACATATCAAAAAGTTCCAAGTTTTTTAAATTGAGCTAAGCTTTCGATATGGTGGTTGAAAGTAACTTGTAGCAAATTTCCTGTTCTCTACAGGGTGCGTAAAAAGTTCCCGGAATTAATCAAAACGGATTTATTTTCTCTTATATCGAAATAAAAATAAGTTTACCCCGAACCATCACAGATTGCGGGAAAAGTCTTTTTTACACACTAATTAGTCTTACGGACTTATTGGCGAAAGTTTCGGGTATTGTGACAGCGTTGGACGGTAAAAATTTTCATTTAAGTAAACAACACCCGTTCAGCCGACCAGCTGCGACCAAGCGCTTCATAAAACGACATTTTTGGGGAGTTTTGAGAGGACTTTTTGACATCTATTCTCTGAAAATTTTTTATAGACTAAATGTTTTCTGAACCAAAAATAGTGCTGAATATGATTGTGAACGAATTTTGTTTTAATAATCAATGTTTAAACCCAATAGTTGAAATTTTAAAAATTCCGGGACTTTTTACGCACCCTGTAGTATAAAAGCCAGATTTTCCAAATCATCTATCTCATTCCTCCAAAAAGTCTAATTTATACATTGAAGCATGTCACAAATTGGTCAACCGATGAAGACTGCAGATCTCTACGATCAGCCACCACCACCAGCAGCATCAGTAGCAGAAGCAGCGCCACCGCCGCCAGCAAACGACCAACTCTATGACCAACCGCCACCGGTTGACGATGGGAAGCAATCGCTGGCAAGGACGAAAAGTGAAGAAGTTTCGCGACCTACAAAGCCAACCCAGAAAGGCGAGTACGAAATCATCGATGACATGGAGGTATCGTTTTTGGAATCTACCAAAGGTAAGTCTTAAAAAGAATGTTCAAGAATTCAAAAATAGTTTCCTTCATTTTCCAGGAAAGAAAAAAGAGGGAAAACAAAAGGGGAAGAAGCAAGGCAAGTCTGATACACCAAAGCGTCAGACTTCATCTGGTAATGAAATAACAATTAAATTCTCTTTTAACTTTGTCATTTTTCAGCTCAGAAGAAACCCGCTAAGAAGAATATCGAAGTGGAACAACCGGTCGTCAAAGTCCAACCAAAACCTCAGCCAAAACCGAAAAAGAAGGTGGTGGTAAAGAACAAACGTTGCTGCGTACTTTTGTCTTTTCTGACGCTTCTGTCTTTTGCTCTTGCTTTGGTCACTTCATTGGCGGCATTTTGTCAATTAGAGGAGACGATTCCAAAAGAATATCCGTGGTTCTAAGAATGTAAATATATTCACTTATTCATTGCTATTGTATTTCTCTCCTCTTTGTCTCGTAATTGTATAATAGAGATGTAGTATAGTTTGTTAATGATTCACTATTACCTAATTGTTTTTCTTGATGTGATAAATTAATGCTTGACTTATTGTTAGATTAAAAATTTAAACTATTTAATCACAATAAAAATAATAAATCTTCAATCTCCCCCAATTCCCTCCTATTATTCCCTCTTTCATTAGAAAATTCATCCTCCCAAAAAAGCTCATTTTCACAATTTAAATTAAGCAGAGCTGATTTATTTGTTTTTAAACTTTTTCCAGAACAAATTGATGAAGAATCAGAATCATTTTGGTTGTTTAAACAAAAGGCACGAGAAGCGGAAGTATTACAGGATAATTGACTACAATCACTAGAAAAATTAAAAATTTAGAGAGATCAACTACTATATTTATGATCTATTTCCAAAGCCAGTCTCTATTAAAATATACTTGGGGGAAACCGACAAATACATTTTCCAGACCCTCACCCTCATAAAATCCCAAAATTTTAATTTTTAACGCTAAACCCTAGCTTTCTAGCCTTTTTAATTTATTGTGAAAATCGGTGAAAATATGCCCTTATTGCCCTTATAATGCCTTTATTTTGCATCATTTTTGAGTATTTTTGCCTAATTTTTATCGAGCCGTTCCTTTTAGTTCTAGAAATGCTGCCCCCCCCTAGAATTCTATATTTTCTTAATAATCTTTAAATTAATGCCTTAAATTTCCTTCATTATCTTCGTCATTTTCATTTGTTAATTCTTTTCTTCTTTTACCAATTAAAGCATCACTTCCTCCATAACGTACAATATCCCCTCTACTCGCTATTGTATTTTCTGCTCTGTTATTATTTAAATTTATTTGTTGATCCATTGAGGCAATTCCTTGTAAATGTTGATTGCGACGAAATAAACGTTTTAAGGCATTTGCTTGACGAACCTGAATTATTTTTTTTGAATTTTTTGAAAATCGGTTAGGAATTTTTCAAAAATTTTTGAAATTTTCAAAAAATTTTCAAAAATTTTTCGAAAAATTTTCGTGGAATTTTCAAAAAAATTTTTTTGAAGAGAAGGCACCTGTACAACAGCAACATGAGGTTTCCCTTCAATTTCGTCTGCTTTAGAGGCAGTAGAAGCAGACAGGAATTCATCTAACCTTCGAAGAAGCTCATTTTCTCCTCCCAAACGGACTGCATAAAATCCCTTAAATTTTCTAAAATTTTCAAAAAATTCCCTCAAAAAACCTCTGCAAGTATAACAGCTTCATTATTAGAGCTAACACTTGCTTTTTGATGATCTTTTTGTTCGTCAGTTGGACTTAACTGCTCCAAAGCTGTCCATATACTATTCGATTTTATTAGCCTACAAAGCATTTTGTAGGCAACAAAGGAACCGATCCCAACGGCAAAAGCTGCGCCACTTGTACGGGCTAAAGAAAAAATTTTTTTTGAAAATTTTTAGAAATTTTTTAAATTTTTTTTCTTTTCAATAAAAACACCTTTAATTCCAAGTCTAATATTTCCATATCGAAAATAACAAAAATTTTCTTTAAAAGAAGTCTTAGATAAAAGACAAAATAAATTTCTAGTCCAAGTTGAAAATGAACGGAGCACCCAACGCAAAAGACAGCCGACTTCCATTTATTTTTAAATTAATTTTTACTACATTTTTCTGATAAATAAAAAAGAATTTTTTAAATCATATAGAAGCTCTCTCTAATATAAATCCATCTCCATCTTAATAGATCTTTTATTAGAGAGGGGGCTCTCCAATAGAAGTTATCAGAGAAGGGCCTCTAAGCGATTTTCCCGCCCCTTTCTAATAAAAGCTCTAAGGGGTCTCTCGACGGGTCTCTCGTTATTAGAGAGGGGGCTCTCCAATAAAAGTGCATTTTCAGGAATATCACCTAAGGCTTCTATTAGAATAAATCCAAAATTAAAAAAATGTTTTTGAACATTTTTTAAAAAAGAATGTATACAAGGAAGAACATAAATTATAAAAAAGTAATAATAACACAAAGGTTGTTGATATTATAGTTTTTTTCAAAAAATCTTCTCAATTTACTTTTTGAGGTTAAAAAGTAAAAGTTATAATAAATAAATAAATATTTATTAAAGTAGCAATTGTCCTTTTCTATTCAAAAAAGTAAATTTTTGAGAATTTTAGGATTTAAAGAGGAACGGAAAGGAATTAATATACTTATAATAATAATATTTTAAAGGATTTAAAAGAGATCAAATGATTTTGTGGTCAAAATTGAGGAATTTAGTTAGTATAATTTTTGGATTAAATTTTGAAAAAAGTTGTACTTGTTGTAAATATTATATATTTATTTGAAAAAAAAAGAGAGATAGATAAATATTAAATTTTAAGAAGGTACATTATGAAAATTTAAAGAAATTCTATCAGAAGCCGGAGAATTGGAAAGCTTGGAAAAGGAAGAAGGAAAAATTAAAAGAGGGAAAAGATTTGGGTTGAAAATTAGATTAGCCCAAAATAATTCATACACTGAAGTTGATACGAAAAATAGAGATGCTAAGGATTACAGAATATGAGGATTTATATTATCTTGCCAAGCAACGGTGGCAAAATAGCCATAGAATTAAATAAAAATATTAAAAGATTTGTAAAAAATAAATTGAATTTTTAGTAGTTTAACAAATTTATTTTTAAAGAAAATATTTTTAAATTTAGACTTATTTAATTGAAATAAAAGACAAAGAGAAAATAATTAAAGTTTTCAAATCATTAAAAATAATTAGCTCTAATCAGGTTGAAAATTGGATTAACCCAAAAATAGGTTAGTCTTCTTTAAATAAAAGGGAAATTTTTGTTTGAAGAATTTAAAAAAAAATAAAAAATTTAAGAATCAAAATTTTAAATAGGAAATATTCTTAAACTTATGATTTCTAATTTTGTCTAATAAATTTTTTAATTAATTTATATTTCCGTATATTTTTAACTAGAGTAGCACCCCGAGCCTTCGGGGGCGGGATCGTAGTAGATCGAGATTTGCCGGGGTAGAGTTTTCGGGGTTCGAGTCGGGGTTTTTTGGCTAAAAATTCATCGAAGTCGGGTCGAAGTCGGGATTTCGGGGCTACTCTATTTTGAACAGTCCAGATTCTAACATTTTTTGAACCTATTTTTGCTATTTTTGGATTTAACAAAACACGCTCTATTTATTATTTTTAGGGTTGCCGTTTTCGGTTCGAGCCGACGTTCGGTGCATTTTTTTGAAGCTTGCTTTTTTTCGGTTCGGTTCGTTTTCGAGCTGAAAAGCCTCAGCTTGCTCGATCTTTCGAGTTTCGGTTCGGTCGAGCTAGCGACCCTAATTATTTTATATTATTTCTAGACATCAGAAAGTTCGAAGTCTTTTCTAGTTAGTATAAAAGCAAGAATCTTCCAAATTATCTATCTCATTCCTCCAAAAAGTTTGTAGCTTATACATTGAAGCATGTCACAAAATGATCAATCGCCGAAGGATGGAGAACTCTACGATCAGCCACCGCCAGTAGCGCCGGGGAAGCAAGCAGACAGCCAACTCTACGATCAACCGCCACCGGCTGACGATGGGAAGCAATCGCTGGCAAGGACGAAAAGTGAAGAAGTTCAGCGACCTACAAAGCCAACCCAGAAAACCGAGTACGAAGTCATCGATAACATAGGATCGATATCTATCAAAGGTAAGTCTTAAAAATGTTCAAGAATTCAAAAATAATTTCTTTCATTTTCCAGGAAAGAAAAAAGAGGGAAAACAAAAGGGGAAGAAGCAAGGCAAGTCTGATACACCAAAGCGTCAGACTGCATCTGGTAATGAAATAACAATTAAATTCTCTTTTAACTTTTGTCATTTTTCAGCTCCAAAGAAACCCGCTAAGAAGAATGTCGATGTGGAACAACCGGTCGTCAAAGTCCAACCAAAACCTCAGCCAAAACCGAAAAAGAAGGTGGTGGTAAAGAGCAAGTGTTGCATCTTCTCTTCGGTCGTGCTGACGCTTCTGTCTCTTGCTATTGCTATAGGCACTTCATTGGCGGCATTTTGCCAATTAGAGGAGGTAATTCCAAAAGAATATCCGTGGTTCTAAGAATGTAACTATATGCATATAATTCACTCATTCATTTGTTGTTCTCTTTCTCTTCAATCACATAATTGTACATAATTGAGAGATTTATATTTGTTCGTCCACTATTAATTGTTTTTCTTGATGTGATAAATTGGTGTTGAAATGTTTTCGTTCTCAAATCGATAGCCCAGAAGCTATAAAAATATCTAATAGTACATAGACCTTTTCCTATATACTTTTACGTTATACGACCGCAAACTGAATGCAAGCCGACTTTGATCGGCTATAACATTCGACGTATGATCAAATACAAATGGATTTCATATTAAACGAAAGCCCTTGATAAGAGGTATCTATCTTCCTTAGGATAGATGGATGGCTTTTTCCAACAAATGGAAAAAGATACCGCTTATCGAGAGCTTTCGAATGCTATGAGATTCATTTGTATTGGATAATACGTCAGAATGTTATAGCCGATCAAATTCGGCTGGCACTCAGTTTGCGGTCGTTTAACGGAAAAGTACCTAAATTAATGCTTGACTTATTGTCAGATTAAAAATTTAAACTATTTAATCACAATAAAAAAATAAATTTGCATGAATGTCAATAATTGTTACACGAATATATTTAGTATAGTAAATAGTCAAATTTTTGTAAAGATCAAAATACTTCGAATCAAAAAAGTCCTTAAAATTTGCCATAATGGCACGTCGTTCAAAATTAAACGAATTATGTATGTATATCTTGATCTCCACTAATTATACATATAAAAAGAGAAATAAGGCACACGTAAAGGCTTTTGTTATAAAATTATTAAAACCATTCCAAACTCGATTCTGACCCATCTAACGATGAAGTTGATATACTGTTTGATTTAGTTATTGCTAAAGTTGTTGTTTTCTTTACCGGTGTTGCCGTTGCTGATTGTTGCTCGCTTATTTTTGAAAGAGGCCGAAGAACAATTCCTTTACCTGAATCAACTTCTCCGCCAAACCTTCTAAAATTATTTTATGTATTTTTTAATGTTTAGATTTCTCTCAAGTGAGGAGAAAAAATTTGAATAACCATGTAATCCCGTAAACACTTCCTCAATTTCTTGCAACTCCTTTTCCTTGTACTTAGACCCCTGCTACCTAGATCACATAACTATTGTAAAGCATATAGCTATTTAATTCCTAAGGCTGCGCAGTAGGCGGCGGGGTGTAATACTTATCAGTCCGGTCTACAGAAGATGTTGGTTCGCTACCAGCCGCCGATTAACCTTTTGCACTAACTGAAGGAGACAAATAGCTATAACCCAGCTGCTTTACTCTATACTTGTTGTGTCCACATTTTAAGAGAAAATATAGAAATAACCCATCCTAGGGTAGGTTAGATGGTAGCACAGTGAGTTGTGTTTTGACTGATCCCTCTTATCTTAACATAAAACTCCCACCCATTCATTCGAGACTTTATACGAACAAAATTTCCTTCAATTTCACATTTTTAATTCAAAATATCCACCTAAAAACGCCACTTTTCGTTCTCGGGCGTGTATTAACATTTTCAGTAGTTTCTCCATCCTCTATACATTGTTCCTTCCAATCATCATCATCAGCACTTGATTGAAAGTCTGTCCCAATTGCCGAGTCAATCATCGCCCCAGAATTGGGCATTTGGCTTTAAAAGGAGAGAGAATTCTTTTTAGAATTTTTTTAAATAAAAAAAAAACATTTGAGCAGAAGAGGAGGTTGCCATTGAAGAAGAAGCGTGGGAATTAATACTTATTATACTATCAACCATTGGACCAAGTTGATTATTGTTGTTGTTACTCTTTTCTTTCCTTCTATAAAGATCTAAGCATTGCTTCTCGGACGTTGAGCGAGAATTTATGCCATCACTCTTAGTTAGTTCCCATAAACTAAAAACATTAAAAATTGTTGTTTTGAACAAAAAATTATCAAGTTATCCCAAGCCGTTCAATTAACATACACAATGGAGATTGGACATGAATGTCGTACGAGATTTCTATAAAAATATCGATTTCAATAAGCGAGATTTTTGTTCAAAATCTCGCTTCGGTCCGATCTCTATAGACAAACTGTTTGAAGGAAGGATAGGGTCGAAGGAAGGATGATTTGAAGGAAGGATAATTTTCCTTTGATTTGGTAATAAGTGGGAGTTTTTGAGGGGAACTTTAAATGAATGATAAAAATGATTGTAAAGAGGGATAAATTTGATTTTCTTTTTGTAAAATTTTTCTTTGATTTTGGATTTTTCTTTAAATTTCTCTCAAATTTCAATTCAAATAAATATGTATTTTTTTACCCCTGAGAAGTACTGACAGGAGCAGCTTCCAATCTCTTTCTTTGTTGTCTATGTGGAGAAGAAGGACAACAATAACGTCCAAATCTGTCAGAACGTGTACTTCCTCCACAAAGAGAGGAAGAGCTTTCGGAGAGTTCACTTTAAAAAAATTTTTGTGGAATTTTTTTAAATTTTTAATACTTTTGTAAAACAATTTTATAAGCTGTAAATGGAAGTCGGGGCTCGTCTCTGGATTTATTGCTAATATAATCTTGTTGTTTTGTTTGTGTAGTATTTACAAATGAAGAGCAAGAACAAGCAGCATTAGCTACATCATCAAGTGAGGATAATTCACGTAGCTAGAAAATAGTAATAAATTTATTTTTGATAAGAAAAGGGAAAGATTTTTTGTGTAATTTTCATTAGTCTTTCTTAAATCTGATATAACGTTACAAAGGTTATACACCCCTCGGAGAGCTCACTAAAAAATTTTTTGGGATAAGTCGACTGGGATAAGTTTTGGATAAGTTGGGATAAGTCCTTTTGAGTAGGGTAAGTCGGCAACTCCTTTTGAGTAGCATTATAACTGGGTTTAATTAACCGAGTACCTTCCTGATTAGCTAGAAGTTTTGCCCTACTCTAAAATGAGGAAATTTGGAATAAATAGGAGAGGAGGGTAAGTCCGACAATCTAATATTTTCTAAATAATTTTATTTTTCCTTTCCCTTACATTATCCAAAGCATTGTCAACTAAACTATCTCCATCTTCAATATCCTCTTCATTTGTATTTTTATCAAGCCAATCATTTGAAAACATTTTTTCAAGATTTTTCATTGCAGAAAGTTGGGAAAGACCACCAAGGCTTCCTTCTCTTTCGCGAAAGATAAAAAGGCCTAAAAATAATTTGGTTAGAGAAAAGCGAAATAGCATGTAATTTAGAGAGAATTAGAGAAATTTTTTGTTGATGGAATTTTATTTTAACTCGAATAACTTTCACTAATTTTTTTAAATTTATATTTATTATCCACACAATTACCTTCATCATCCACAATTTCTTCAGTCTCCCCCAATTCCCTCCTATTATTCACTCTTTCATTGGAAAATTCATCCTCCCAAAAAAGCTCATTTTCACAATTTAAATTAAGTAGAGCTGATTTATTTGTTTTTAAACTTTTTCCAGAACAAATTGATGAAGAATCAGAATCATCTTGGTTGTTTAAACAAAAGGCACGAGAAGCGGAAGTATTACAGGATAATTGACTACAATCACTAGAAAAATTAAAAATTTAGAGAGATCAACTACTATATTTATGATCTATTTCCAAAGCCAGTCTCTATTAAAATATACTTGGGGGAAACCGACAAATACATTTTCCAGACCCTCACCCTCATAAAATCCCAAAATTTTAATTTTTAACGCTAAACCCTAGCTTTCTAGCCTTTTTAATTTATTGTGAAAATCGGTGAAAATATGCCCTTATTGCCCTTATAATGCCTTTATTTTGCATCATTTTTGAGTATTTTTGCCTAATTTTTATCGAGCCGTTCCTTTTAGTTCTAGAAATGCTGCCCCCCCCCTAGAATTCTATATTTTCTTAATAATCTTTAAATTAATGCCTTAAATTTCCTTCATTATCTTCGTCATTTTCATTTGTTAATTCTTTTCTTCTTTTACCAATTAAAGCATCACTTCCTCCATAACGTACAATATCCCCTCTACTCGCTATTGTATTTTCTGCTCTGTTATTATTTAAATTTATTTGTTGATCCATTGAGGCAATTCCTTGTAAATGTTGATTGCGACGAAATAAACGTTTTAAGGCATTTGCTTGACGAACCTGAATTATTTTTTTTGAATTTTTTGAAAATCGGTTAGGAATTTTTCAAAAATTTTTGAAATTTTCAAAAAATTTTCAAAAATTTTTCGAAAAATTTTCGTGGAATTTTCAAAAAAATTTTTTTGAAGAGAAGGCACCTGTACAACAGCAACATGAGGTTTCCCTTCAATTTCGTCTGCTTTAGAGGCAGTAGAAGCAGACAGGAATTCATCTAACCTTCGAAGAAGCTCATTTTCTCCTCCCAAACGGACTGCATAAAATCCCTTAAATTTTCTAAAATTTTCAAAAAATTCCCTCAAAAAACCTCTGCAAGTATAACAGCTTCATTATTAGAGCTAACACTTGCTTTTTGATGATCTTTTTGTTCGTCAGTTGGACTTAACTGCTCCAAAGCTGTCCATATACTATTCGATTTTATTAGCCTACAAAGCATTTTGTAGGCAACAAAGGAACCGATCCCAACGGCAAAAGCTGCGCCACTTGTACGGGCTAAAGAAAAAATTTTTTTTGAAAATTTTTAGAAATTTTTTAAATTTTTTTTCTTTTCAATAAAAACACCTTTAATTCCAAGTCTAATATTTCCATATCGAAAATAACAAAAATTTTCTTTAAAAGAAGTCTTAGATAAAAGACAAAATAAATTTCTAGTCCAAGTTGAAAATGAACGGAGCACCCAACGCAAAAGACAGCCGACTTCCATTTATTTTTAAATTAATTTTTACTACATTTTTCTGATAAATAAAAAAGAATTTTTTAAATCATATAGAAGCTCTCTCTAATATAAATCCATCTCCATCTTAATAGATCTTTTATTAGAGAGGGGGCTCTCCAATAGAAGTTATCAGAGAAGGGCCTCTAAGCGATTTTCCCGCCCCTTTCTAATAAAAGCTCTAAGGGGTCTCTCGACGGGTCTCTCGTTATTAGAGAGGGGGCTCTCCAATAAAAGTGCATTTTCAGGAATATCACCTAAGGCTTCTATTAGAATAAATCCAAAATTAAAAAAATGTTTTTGAACATTTTTTAAAAAAGAATGTATACAAGGAAGAACATAAATTATAAAAAAGTAATAATAACACAAAGGTTGTTGATATTATAGTTTTTTTCAAAAAATCTTCTCAATTTACTTTTTGAGGTTAAAAAGTAAAAGTTATAATAAATAAATAAATATTTATTAAAGTAGCAATTGTCCTTTTCTATTCAAAAAAGTAAATTTTTGAGAATTTTAGGATTTAAAGAGGAACGGAAAGGAATTAATATACTTATAATAATAATATTTTAAAGGATTTAAAAGAGATCAAATGATTTTGTGGTCAAAATTGAGGAATTTAGTTAGTATAATTTTTGGATTAAATTTTGAAAAAAGTTGTACTTGTTGTAAATATTATATATTTATTTGAAAAAAAAAGAGAGATAGATAAATATTAAATTTTAAGAAGGTACATTATGAAAATTTAAAGAAATTCTATCAGAAGCCGGAGAATTGGAAAGCTTGGAAAAGGAAGAAGGAAAAATTAAAAGAGGGAAAAGATTTGGGTTGAAAATTAGATTAGCCCAAAATAATTCATACACTGAAGTTGATACGAAAAATAGAGATGCTAAGGATTACAGAATATGAGGATTTATATTATCTTGCCAAGCAACGGTGGCAAAATAGCCATAGAATTAAATAAAAATATTAAAAGATTTGTAAAAAATAAATTGAATTTTTAGTAGTTTAACAAATTTATTTTTAAAGAAAATATTTTTAAATTTAGACTTATTTAATTGAAATAAAAGACAAAGAGAAAATAATTAAAGTTTTCAAATCATTAAAAATAATTAGCTCTAATCAGGTTGAAAATTGGATTAACCCAAAAATAGGTTAGTCTTCTTTAAATAAAAGGGAAATTTTTGTTTGAAGAATTTAAAAAAAAATAAAAAATTTAAGAATCAAAATTTTAAATAGGAAATATTCTTAAACTTATGATTTCTAATTTTGTCTAATAAATTTTTTAATTAATTTATATTTCCGTATATTTTTAACTAGAGTAGCACCCCGAGCCTTCGGGGGCGGGATCGTAGTAGATCGAGATTTGCCGGGGTAGAGTTTTCGGGGTTCGAGTCGGGGTTTTTTGGCTAAAAATTCATCGAAGTCGGGTCGAAGTCGGGATTTCGGGGCTACTCTATTTTGAACAGTCCAGATTCTAACATTAATAAAACAAAAAATAATATCAGAAAAATCATTTTCTGTTAAAAAATTTTTTTAAGAATTCAAAAAATAAAAATTTTGAAAAAAAATGAAAGAAAAGTTTGCAATAAAAATATTAAAGTTTTAGGAGAAACAATTTTAACGGAAACTTTTCTTCATTTAACTGCTAATTTTGCCTTCCAAAAAAATATAAAAAAGCATCATTTGGCTTTTCAACAGATTGATGGATTGAATTGTTTTGTTTGTTTGGTCAGTTGATATATTAAAGGAAATTAAGAGAGAGAAAGGATTTGGGTTAGAGAAAGGAGGGAGGAAAAATAACAATTTTTTGAATGAGGTAAATAAAAAAACGGAAGTGAATAGACTGTTGATTGACAAAATAAATATTTATTGAGATGAAAGGAAAATAATAATAAATATTTTTGATTTTTAATAAAAAAATATTTTTTTAAATATTTTATTAAAATGCCAAAAATTGTAAACAAAAGGTAAAAAGCGCAGATTGAAATTGATTGAACAGATGTATGTATTGTTATGAAAGGTTTTTAGAAGGATGTAGGAAAGAAGGATAAAGGAGGTAGAGATTTTTTGGTTTTGAGTCTTGGAAAATTTTTCGGTTTTGGGAATCACTAAAAGAAGGATTGAAAAATTTTAGATTAAAGTGTTACGAAAAACAAAAGCCCTAAGGTATTTGGTGAAACAGACAAAAACGAATTTACAGGCTCTTTTGTGAAAGTTGTGTAGCTCAGTGATAGAATACCTCCAATCGGATAACCGAAACCAAGCAAGCATTGATTTCTGCCTTATGACTAAATCTTTGCTAGATTCTTATACTCTTGCTGACTCTCTCAAAAAATTGAGAGAGTAAATTAAACAAAAAATAAAAGTTGAAAATTTAGGAGGTTCAAAAAATAAGCGATTTGGGAGAGAAAAAATATTTGTTAATGAGAAAATAAGAGATTAGTAAAATATATAAGTATCTCGCCTGCGCAACAAATATGTAAAATAAACAAAATTAATTTTTTCCAATAATTTTTTTAATAATTCAAAACAAAAACTACAGTATTTCCTTTATTAGAATGCCATGGCATTCTATTTTTCGATCACTTCAAAGGTGGCATTCTAATAGAGGAAATACTCTATTTACTAACTAAAAATAGCAATATCCATATTCTGTGTTGCTGGAATAGATAACCCCAATTGTGTAACCAATTCGAGTTGTTTTCCACCTCCAAAAACCCTAGCTTCTAGGAAAAGTGGGGGTAATAGAGTTGCTAAAGCATTTAATAATTTTGTTGTTTGTTTATTATTAAATGAATTGGAATTTCTTTTTGTTGTTTCCATTTGAGGGGTTAAACTTTAAATAATTCAATATTAATTTAAATTAAATTTCTGGACGTTTATGGAGTCTAATACCAATATAAGAGAACCCGAAAGGAACGAAAAAATATTAGTTATGCCGACTAAGGTTGTCGGATAGTTGAAAATCTTCAGATATCCGGATCCGGTATCCCAACTGAAAATTCACGGATACCCGGTCCTTTTTCAGATCCG